CAATATGAGTACTCATGGACGAATTATGAGTAAAGGCGTACTCATCGTATGAGTACTTTCACTAGGGTACAAGTCTACGGCTGTTGGACTTTAAAATAGATGATGGAAATTTATATTGTCGATAACGTTCTAAAAAATGAACAGCTGAAGAAAAAAGAATTTTGTAAACCTGTTAAATACATAGTGTACCTTTTCTGTATAGAGCTTTTAATTTTTGTATATTTTATACTATTTTTATACATACTCCTATTTATTTACTTATACACGTAAATTGTCAACGTTTCCGTCAAAAAGTCGTCCTATATGTACGTTGTGTGCTTCATTTATTTCTTAATTTGCTTCTTCGTTTTTCTTATTTTGACACATAACTAGAGCCCTGCGAGATCGGGATAGAAGAACAAATATTTACGGGATCGGGATCAAGCTTACGGAACGAGATCAGGATTGGGGTCAAGCTTACGAACGGGTTCGGGATCGGGATGTTCTTTTTCCAATTTATTGGAAGGGACACATGCTGTATAAATATGGTTCTGTCATATTTTTTTCTACTAGTGTAACGTAAAAAAGAGAAAACATGGACTTCCATACACTCTTCTATTGGTTAGAAAGGCCATATTGAGTTTTTTACATATCTTACTTTTGGTGGCCAGCTAGCTTTCAACGAATGCTGAAGTTATCTGTTATTGGTAGCTGTTATTAGCAGAAAAAGTACATATTTGTCTCATATTCAGCTCCGTTATTGACAGCCCTGTATCTCATAAAGAATACTTAACCCTTTTCTAAAAAATGGCTCGGTATACAGCATATCTTGTGTACTTCAAACTAACATAGAAAACGCGGAGGAGTACATTCTAGTTAGTTTTATTTTAATCTGTCAAGTTGACAGAATATAGAATAATTTCATAGTGAGTGCAGTGAACATTTCGATCAAACGAAAAAATATTTTCAAACTTAGAAGCAGTATCTATCATATGTCAACATCATATCGTTCTTTTTCGTTTTCTGCTTTTATTTAGAAAAATATCTCTTGTTCACTCTCGATCATTTCTCATTTTTCTTTTTTCATTTCTGTGAATATATGTATCGAAATACAGAAAGCGCTTGAAGTCATTCAAACGGTAAGCAATTTTAAGGCATCCCTAGGCAGTACAATGTGTGATAATCACAAGAACTCCCTTGCTTTCGACTTTCTAGTAAAAGCTGGGACGAATCTGAATAATGTTTTGAATAGCCCGAAGATTTTTCTATCAGATGAGGTGCTTTTCGTGATCAGAATGATTAAATATACGCGGGATTTATATGTAGAAGGCTTTCTCTGTTTTGACATTGAATAAAGAACGGATGAAAATTCGATTCGTTTTTCAGAAAAGGTTGGAGCGTAGCCTTAAATTCTGGAAAATTTTGAGCCTGATAACGAATTGTCTTGAATCCGCATACATCGCTGTTCTCACCACGAAAAAGCGGTTCTTAAGAAACGCCTTCATGTTTCATGTTTTAAAGGCAAGTCAGCTAAAAGTGTCAGCTCTTGACGATTTGCTGTTACCGTTGAGCTATAAGTAGAAGAGAGGAGGCAGTTACTTTTACTGGAAGATGAACTACAAATGCGAGTTTACGAAGAGTTTGTTTGAAAGAAAGCTTATATTCATTGTAAGAAGTGTTTTTATACTGTAGCAGTGGGATCTTACAGGATTTGTGATGTAGTTTCTGATGAAAAATGACTCATTGTTTTCTTTGTACGAACGCCTGCTTCACAGAAACTTTGTTTCAAATTTTTTAAGAATGCTTTGGCTCTTGTATGGATCAAATGGGTGGATTGGTGAACGATGCCGTGAAATTTTACAAATGGCTGGGCAAAAAGTTGTCAGCGGGAAACGGATTACTTCGTTAAAGGATGTGGAAGATGATGTTGTAACGCACAAACCAGATAGAGTTATTTGTGCTATCGGAAGAACTTATGGGGATACTATACCAAATATAGATTATTTGGAAAAGCCTGGAATTTTGGAAATTAATTTACGTGATAATCTACTAGCACCGCTCTACATTGCACAGGCAACAACACAAGGTGCGAATTTACTTTCATCTATACCAACATTATACTTTGGCAGTGGCTGTATCTATGAATACTCAGATCCAAACAATTTGTCCCATCCATTTGAAGAAACTGATCCGCCAAACTTTTTTGGATCTGCATACAGCGCTGTCAAAAGCGCCACTGATCAATTGATAAACGGCTATCCACATGTTTTAAAGTAATGTATCTTATGTGGGATAATATTTCCTAGCCAAACTGCAGCGATTTAAATGCCAGATTCAAAAGCACAGAAAGAGAAGATAAGGGAGAAACAATAATAAGCATCAGAATCAACATTGAGAGGAAGTTAAAGGAATAAAAGCAGGAAATATCTTAGAAAAAGACAAGTGAATTTAGTACGGTGTTTTGCATGTTTTTCTGTTTTCAATAAGCTAAAACACGCTGAGTTTTTTAAGCAATACATACACATTGTAATACAATGTGCATGTATGTATTTACAATGATTGTAAATACGATATCTAAAATGTTTAAAAGACTATTAGGAGAAGATCACCCAAAAATCGTTGGTCACGTCAAAGAATCATATTTGGAGAAAAGCTCGAAAACTCGAATAAAAGCGCGAGGTTTAATATACGAGGTGATCTATTAATAGTAGATGACAAGCGCTATCTTCAACGAAGTTTTACTTGGTTCTTTATTGTTACAGTGCAGACTCGTCGTGGATTACGCTAGAATTTGATTTCTACTTCTCTAGTGCACGCATCCGTATGCCAATCTACGATGACCCAAGTCCAAGAGATTTCATAACAAAAATTCTTGGTTATCGAAAAATTACATCATTACCCAATTCGATGACTGTTATGTCTGATATTTTGCCATTATTATTAGCATTAACCCATGAGGGAAAATTCGGCGGACGAGTGAATGCGTGTAACAAAGGATGGGTCGATCATGATTGGATATTAAAAAAGTATGCGGAGAAAACCGGCGAAAAACTAGATTATGTGTTGGAACCAATAAACGAGCAGAAAGAACGTCTAGCAGCAAGACGTTCAAACAATACTTTATCAACAGATAAACTCGATCATTGGACAAAAATACTGCCATTCGAAACAAAGAAACTGTACTATGCTCCAATTGTGCTACCTGAGTTGACCAAAAGTATTGAAGATATATGCGCACAGCGTGCACTAATGTTTTCAACGACAGATTCAACTGTGACTAGAAATTTATTAGTTACTGGTGGTTGCGGATTTATCGGTAGCAATTTCATTAATCATTGGTTAAAAAAGTATCCGAATGATACTGTGATTAACATTGATCGTTTGGATCCATGTTCCAATTCAGAAAATATTGATACGTCAGTTTCGACTAAATACAAATTAGTTGCAGCCAGTATTAACAACAAAGATTTAGTGTTACATTTAATGAAGCAGTATCAAGTGACACATTTAGTACATTTCGCAGGTAAATGCAGCATAAAAAGAGAGCACTGATATAGATTAAATAAATTTCTTCTGCTTTCACCTTGAAACATCCAACACAAGTATTTTAGCTGAAACACATGTTGACGCATCGTTTCATGATAGCGTCCCATTTACTGAATCCAACATATGCGGAACTCACTGTGTACTTGAAGCTAGCCGTCAATATGGTAAACTGCAAAAATTTATCCATATGAGCACTGATGAAGTCTATGGAGAATGGCCAGCAGGTTAAAACGATGTGATTTTATTGTGAAAAACCGTTTTTATCTTTACTATGTTTTCAGGTAGTTGTCATGAAACAGCTACATTAAATCCAACAAATCCTTATGCGGCTACAAAAGCAGCAGCCGAATTTTTGGTCAAATCATATGGCGAAAGCTTTAAACTAAATTATGTAAGAAATGATAATATATGAGCGATTATCAGATACTCCTTACACATATTTCAACCGCTGAAAACAATTTAAACTATGACGGCAGGTTCATGGCATAAGTATTGCTGTCACACTCTAAAAAAAGCGTGTTTTAGAAGCCCTAAAACTGAGTTTAGTGGAAAATAAGGCTTTCTTATTCCTCGTACCAAACTCAAAGGGCTTTTGAAGACAAAAACCCTTTCGCTGTTTCCTAACTCTGGCTAGTAGTTTAAAAACCCTTGGTTTGCCTTACAAAACCCAAAAGGATTTGGTCCCGTTCCAAAGCGCTGAGTCATCCAGTACACTACTTCTTTAACGTGAACCCCTTTGTTATTTGTTAAAATACCAAAGAGGTTTTAGGAAAGAGCGAAAGAAAAACTATGTATCATGAAGAGCATCAAATGTTGCACATAAGCCTCACTTGCCCAACGTTGGAGTCGCGTGGAAAGTGGTCTTCCGCAGCGCACAGGCTACGATTTTGTCCTTTTTCGCGGTTCCTCAATCGCGATTTCCAACTATTTCGAGCTCTTTAATCTCTTTACATGGAAGAACGATACAAAAGTACTTATTTCTTAAAATTAAATTATTTTTCTCAATTTTATTCCAAAAAGATTTAACTACAGACCACTCTATGTGGCCAAAATGGCGTCTTACTGGAACGAATGACGCAACTGTTTGTCGATATAAAAGAGAACTATGCTTTCTACAATTAATATTCGATTTTGGCTGCCACAGATGCACTTATGCACAACTTTTGATGCTTCATTAGATACACATAGTAAGGTTTACCGGCATACAGTCATGTATAAAGCGGGCGGAGCTGAGGAGGGAAGTACCCCAACTGATAAATCGCTTTTTCAACGAAACTGACTGGACTATAGGTAGTCGACGATGCTGATTCCGAATATCACCATGAATGCTATTGCTAGGCCTTCAAAGATCGGTCTTCTAGAAAACCAGTTTTCGAGAAACTCTAAAGAACAGCCAAAAGCTTTCTCAATGAGGCGTAATTGTAGTCCGTACATTTCTGATTAAAACGAGGCATCTCCCAGCTCTACACGACCTTGCTTTCCAAAGTTATAGAGTTTACAAGAAAGCCCTAAATTCATTTTTCGTTTTTCTTTCTGTAGCTCTGAGGTGACAATGAACATCGGGGCTTTTCTTGTAAACTCTATAACTTTGGAAAGCAAGGTCGTGTAGTGCTGGGAGATGCCTCGTTTTAATCGGAAATGTACGGACTACAATTACGCCTCATTGAGAAAGCTTTTGGTTGTTCTATAGAGTTTCTCGAAAACTGGTTTTCTAGAAGACCGATCTTTGAAGGCCTAGCAGTAGCATTCATGGTGATATTCGGAATCAGCATCGTCGACTACCTATAGTCCAGTCAGTTTCGTTGAAAAAGCGATTTATCAGTGGGGTACTTCCCTCGTCAGTTTCGATGGACAGAAAACAGACAGGAGAGAAAACAGAAAAAAGCAAAAAAATCTTCAGAGTTGATCTGTTGTTACCATTGTAGAGAATATGTTTATCAAGTTCTGACGGTAGTACATTAGCACGTTATAGCAAAGCTTGAACTTTAAGAATGTATTCGTCATGTAACTCACCTTGTCGTCGGTTCTATGGGAAAAATTTTAGGCTAATAATATTTGCGTTGGCAATATATACATTTGTTATTTACATAACGTTATATTCGGAAACGAACGTAAAAGATTGTTACCAGATTATTAACAACCGAAAATGTGACAGAATCCCACTGACCGATGTCTCGATTAAACACCGACGTACGCATTCACCGAATTACATTCATTACCCATATTCTCGAAGCATGGAAGAGTTGTACCAAATTGATCCATTTTATTCCGTGTACTACTTCGACAAATATGCAGGTCATAACAATCTGACAGCTGAAATGCCTGACACTAGAACTGGGCAAAAACCTCTTGAATTTTCCGAATCTGTATTTCGTGGAGCTTTGCACCCTGTATTATGGCTAGACCAGTTCGGTGATGTACACTGGAACGATGCAGCAGAGCGGGAAATGTATCAATATTTACTCAACAAGCAATATCCAAAATTTTCGAATATTAATGAATCATCTAGTTCAAGTGATCGTGCTGAAGCATACATATCCGATTGTCAGTCCAGACAGTTGATCATTTTACCTCAGTGGCTAAAGGGAGGTTTCTTTAGCCGTTATCACTGTTTTATTGAACAGTTCGGACAGACATTATATTCTCCCTTGATGGCTGTTCTTACTCCTAGACTGTTTTATTTCTCGAATGCAGATCAAGATGATTACTTAGCCGAAGGCATCTTGGGCTATTTGGCACCAATGTCGCTGTGCTCAGGCTATATGCATCACCCAAAATTAAAAGATTTAAGTCTGAACATAAAAACTTTAACTAAAGAAGAGCGACGAGAAGGTAACAATTATGTCAGAATTGATACGATTGAACAACTACGTAGCTCCACAATCAGAGCTAAGAACAAACAGCTTCTCGTAATCCCGCACGTTTGGAAGTTTAGTTATGAGCATATACCGCATCGGCGTTGGCTCTTCGATTATGATCGCATTGCAGCGAAGCATAATATCCATTACTATTCATCGATAGCTGATCTAGTTGATCATTCGAATGAACATATCTATCGTTCAGCAAATCTGACGTTTAACCCTGATCAATGGGAGCCGCGTAATCGACCATGGCAAAGCTATTCAGATAATCTACAGAATTCAAATTCTACGCTTACATGGAAAGACAAAGTTTTTACTTCATTCCTTCGCTACATGTTTATCTTATTTTTTTATCAACCAGTTCCACGTGTTCAATTTCTAACGAAGCTATTACATCAACATTGGATTACCTATTTGGCTCATAAAACGAAGCAGACTTACGAGCTAGAGGCGTCAGCGATGGCAGGAATATTTATTAGACGAGGAGATAAAATGTCGGAAGATTCATTTTATCTGAAACATGGATATTGGAGAAACATCTCGTTATATATCAAAGGCCTACGTGATGAAGAAAGAAGACGACACTTTAAGTTTACTCCCATCTTTGTTTTAACAGACGATGCAGACGTTATGAGTTCTATTATTCAGTACTCGAATATATCTTCAGTGAGTAACGATGAAATCTTCGCGCGGAAACATCTGAGTGGACGGCAAATAATCTATAATATATACGCTCCTCAACGCTGTTTTAATCCTTTTAATCGCGTTGGTTTTGATCAATTTCTAGTAAATATTAATTTTTTAATTCAATATTCGAAGTTTATCGTTGGACATACTGATTCAAATATTGGTAGGTTTTTAGAAGAAATCATATACGCACAAAGCCAGTTAAATGAGGGTATACAAACGCAAACATCCGTGAAGAACGCGCCTGATACATAGTATATTGCATGTGTACCGAAGAATGACTACTCATGTGTCATCACTTTGAGTTACTTGGTCTCGCATGTTAGCTAGAGAGGGTTTGCTAACCTAGAAACACTTTCATTAACACTTTAGCATCGTGTTCTGCAACTTCGAACCACAACCAACCAGGCCAGATCTATTCATATAGATCTTGTTCGTTAATCTTTCAAACACGACTTCAAAAGTCGATATCACATTACTTTCAATATTCACGTATTTTGGAAAAGCCTAAAATTTCTAATGAAACATGAAAATTTTACGGAAAAGGAATAATAAATTTCGCAAATTTCGTGTCAACCGTTAACCGATGACTCTACACAAATTTAAAGTGAATAAGAAATACGGCGGTTGTACCCTTTGAGAAGGATAAGCGCTACCGCTATTCTGCCATAATGAAAAACTTTTCTAATTCGCCTAAGTTTTGGTCATTTCTAACTAATTATCACTGGAGTCGCACAAATATACTCAACCTGTCTCATATGATTGAAAACATCAGTTGATCACTGACGCACAAATCAGTGAATTGTTTAATGAATCATTTGTCGCTGGTACACTGCTCGCCAAAATACCAAAAGATATCAGCTGCCGCAAACAGCAGTGTTGAGCGACACTGAAATTAACATTTTTGAAGCAATTAATGTTATGAGCAAGGCTTCTAGTGCTGGAATAGATAACCTTCCCATCAAGTTCTACAAACGGTGTGCTGAAGTAATTTGTCTTCAATTAAGCTACATTTTTACCCTATCATTCATACAGTACTTCAACACAGTACTTTTCCAGAACAGTGGAAAATGCACTCGCTGTTCCTGTTCATAAAGAGAATAATCATGCGCTAGTACTTGGAATTAGAAGAAACTGATATTTTATTACGTATTGTATTTATAGAAGGTGTGGGGTAACAGCATGGTAGATTATCATTATTTGCAAACATAGTACTTATAGCGGGAAAATGTTTATGTATTGGTTCGGTCTTTACCCAACTATCATATATCCACTCAGCAGTGTGTATCAGAGCTCCGTATGATTGACTGAGAATTTATTGAGTTCATGGACTCAGACTGGACTAGACTCAATCAAGATCATGGACTACAGGAAGCGTAGTATGCATTGGAATCATTGGAATCATCATTTAACTTCGAGTTAACTTTCTGACTAATCAGCTTCGTCGTAGCTCATTTAACTTTTTTTAGTGTGAACGTAGCCTTATTATCTGTAATTTTATTCATTTATTCACCTAGTAGATCAATAGCATTAAAGAACAAGTCCTCTGCAATGTCGTACCATAATGAATACTAATATCTGTGAAATTCTTAGAATTACACTTCTTTCATTTACTTTGTCCGAAAATCGAACTAATTTTCCTAATTAGTACGTATTTAATGAGCTCCGAAAAGTTTCCAAAGATCTCGATACAGATTTTTGACGAAACGCTAAACTCGGAATCCTAATAAATCTTTATCAACATCTGGATCAAGATTAGATGATGTAACTTAATGTTCTTGAAAATTCTGGATCAATATCTGAATCAATAATTCTCCAGAAGCAGAATCTTTAAAGAACTTGGCAGATTTTCGCTTTCTGGAAGACATGGACAGCCACATGTTTTAGTCACATATCTGTATGTACTTGAATTGGAAATATAGAAACAATTGCACGTACGCGTATTTCTATTTTTTTATATAAAGAAGGCAATAAATGAATGTTTTCACCAATTTCATTTTCCACTCAACTCAGCTTGTCTTCATATTAAGGTATTAGATAAGGTAAGTTACACTCTTTCACTTGAAATTTTTTCTCTATTGTATTTCACGTGATGACAATATATACCGCTCATATTTGTCAACATGAAGAAAAGCAGTATATCTTATTTGATACATCTCCGTTGTTTTTAGCAAGAGAAATATATCTTTTCGTCAGCAAGACATACACTACGGTTACACTACGCAAATAATCACACTTATCTTTAATTGTGATTAAATGATATCACGATTAAGCATTGTTTTCTAGCATAACCGCAAAATTTTTGGATCATGGTTAACGATACTTAATCATGTTGAACAGAAATATGTGTGACCGTACTAATCATGATTAAAAGGATAATTGTAATTTAACTTGTGATAGCCATTACTATAAATGCTGAATGTGCAGGAGAGAACTCATTTTTGTGTTGACAAAACTAAAACAACTACAGTGACACTTAATTTGATCAATAGATTTGTTGACGCCAGCTGCTAATACACCTGCTTGTACTTCTTTCCAGACGTCACGGTTCCAATGACTTGCCATCTCGTTCGATATCATTTCATCTTTTAACTAATTTAGCAGCAAATTTGTTTTTTCCTCAGACCAGCACGATCTTTTGATCTTCGTTTTATTCTTGTAACTCAGCGTAGTTACTTTAAATAAAATTTTTTTATTATTTTCGATAGAGATGATTAAAGTTAATCATCTTTCGAACATTATTATCTCTACTCATGGTTTTCAAAATGATCGTGATTAAAGTAGCGGTTACACTACTAGTTTAATCACGATTAACAATCATAATTAAAGATAATCATGGTTATTTTCGTAGTGTAACCGTAGTGAGATACTATATGAATGGTGAGAGTTCTATTTGAAGTTGGTATATTCATTTTAGATCGCCGTTGTTTGTTATAATGAGGTACCCTATGGCAGCATATACGCGATATTTATACACTCTTCATTAAAGTATGAAGTCAAAAAGACTTTTGATCGTCTATATAAATAACAACAAGCTGATTCAGTACACTTGAGCTGTCGATATTTGCACAAAAAGGTTGTTTATTCGGACACTGCGACAGAAGTTAACTTCAAAAGGGAAAGATGCATAAATTGAGTTTTCGTAACTAAGGTCCTGTCCAGACTACAATACGTCAGAATAACTTACCAGTGATAAACGTATATTCCTTTTTTCGCTCATGAGACTCATATACTTGATTTTAAATAGCGAATAGTTATTGGTCATTCGGAGTTGTCAGATGTATTTGAGGTTTGATCAGTGCGAATAATTCCTAATAATAGATTCATCCCTCTCTCGGTTAACGAGTCGATGCAGAAGGAGTTGTCCTTTTGGTCGCAGATTAGATTCCTTCGTGAATCTTTAATTTTTTCTTCAAAATAAGGTGACATATGTAACTGACAATGCTCTGCAAAAGTCCCATGGAGCCCTTTTAGGAACACACTAGTGAAAGCATTTATTATCAGAAAATATTTACCATTTGAACCGTTTTTGTTCTACTTTTCTTCGCCGATATTATTTTAACAATAAAGGATCGCTGTGTATCTGTAGGACGGTGGTTAAGTACAGAGAAAGTGCCACTTTATGTCGTCGTCGATCGGAATCCGACACTAATATTTTTCTTTCATTCCTCTTTTAATTTATGTTTTTTTCAACATCGAAGTGACCCATTTCAGATAAATATGCAGTACTGCCAAATCGATCGTGGCGAACAGAATTCCGCAGATTTTGTGTCGACAACCTCCTGGGAAAAAACATGTCAACCAGTGGCGTATTCAGAAATTTTTAACTAGTGAGTAATTCTCCAGCCAAATTATTTTGAGAGGTGGGCAGCAATGGGCAATGGAAAAATCTGTTGGGCAATAATTTTTAAAAAGCTTATTGACACTATAAAAGCCGATGGTTACGGAAGAGAAATTCGTCAACCTCAACTAACAGAACAGCTAAGCATTCATCAGTGAATTTATATGTAGTACCGAGTATTTTAACGAAAGAGTATCATTGAATCGTCATCATTGAGATCATTGGTTAAATAGAAAAGACTGTCGATTGATTTTTCTGCAACAACTGATTCGATCTCATCTTGAGAAGTTCATTAAAATCACATCATTTGAGTCATCAAATGTACAAGAGTATCAAAATTTTTTTGCAGTGGGCAATTGCCACTATCTCAAAAAACTGGTGGGCCATAAATTTTGGACTGGTGGACTGTTAGGTCCGGTATATGTTGTTGTGTATAAGTAGTTTATTAAGGTACTGAAGATGATCTCTTTTGCACAAAATTAGCGTATATTTATAGTTAAGTTTACACAAAAAGCCGAATATTCTAGAGTTGATAAACTACACTGGGGAACTGGAGAGACATGTAAGAGATCATAGAAACTAAAGAAACCAAGAACTAACACTGGGGAAAATCCTGATAGAGAGAAGAGAACGAAAAGAACTAACACTGGGAAATTCCTCATAGAAAGAAAGAGAACGAAAAAGATACACATAATAGATAATAAGAAATAACACTGGGGAAATTCCTGACAGCAAGAAAGACACCGAATCAATATATATATATGTATGTATGATATCTATCATACAGTTCTCTCTTATGGCACGTCTTTAACATGTGCCATAACATGGACAATTGCCCAATTGCCGACTATCTGGATATGCCACTGATGTCAACGCTTGATATGCAAAAGATCGGCGTTTGTAGATTGCCGTTTTCTAATCTGATGAGAGAAAATGAAATGTTTGTTGTCAGAAGATTGACAGAAAACAATTTAGTTTTACCTGGATACACTAGCTTAAAGACGACTTTCTAAAATTCTTTACCCTCTTATAAAGAAGAAGTCTTCGCTTAGCAGTAATCATAAATCAGGTCAGAATCCGAAAAGTCAAACGTGACTCAATCAGTTTTTCACTGTTTATCCATCTTTTTGAGATATTTCACTGAAGCTAGCGCTTATAGCTTCAAATGTCCAGCGGCAAAACCCCTTTTTTTGTAATTGCACTTATGCAAAAAAACGTCGAAAAGCGGTAGATAGTGGAACAAAATGCTATAATGTTGTTAACAGTAAGTAAATAAAGAAGTCGAACCTCTACTAGGTGTATCCAAAATCTACTGAAAGAAGAAGAAAGAATACCCTGCCTTGCGGCTACCGGTATTGGTATAGGGTGCTGCCACAGCAGTTTCAGTATCTTCCCTGCAGTTGACAAGCTTCGGAAATGGTCATCCATCTCGTTACTAGTCATTAATTGCAACTCTGACCAGAAGGCTAGCCTGCTGCAGAGTTCTATCGCCCGATTACCTGAGCAAATACAAGCTTTCCGGAAAACCACAAGAACTAGACGAAAAGCTGTATTGTACGTCACAACGTAGTGAGTATGCTGCTAGACGGGTGATCCGAGTTACTAAGACACAAATAACTTGTCCAAGATTATTATACGACTTTGCTAGCGCCGAGATTCAAACACAATACCTTTGAAGTACGTAACGTACAGCATAACCATCAAGTCATACCGGGACTTACTTTGCTAAATAATGTACATTTATCGTTATAGACACAGTATGGACGTGAAAACGCTCTTCCTTTATACAGCAGTAATAACAAGTACTGTTCTTCTGCTTTATGCAAGGTTAGGAAATCAAAAGATATTTATCGTGGAACGCTTGAAACCATTATTTTATGCACAGGAAATTAAAATTCAGAAACACACGCTATAACTACGAGTGTAAATATTCAGTTAACTGCAGAGCTACTCTAGTAACTGCTGGACAGGCGTGATGGAGTCAGCTCAGGAAGCTGGCTAATGTTTTTATATTTTGTAGTTACAATTACAGTGAAGATCCTTCTCTCTGGAATGAAGCCGCAAATTGGGAGATATGTATAAATCATAAGTAGTAAGTTTTGGTATAAAGTCTAAATCAATCCCGGAAAGCACTGCAAACGGTTCGGAAACTTAATAGACTGTGAATAAAGGTGGGTACTATAGGGGTAATAGTGAGTATAATTCATTTTTTGGCGATCAAACGTGGCAGATCAGGTCCAGTGCTGACCATTTAAGAAAAGGACTTTCTTTCTCCACTTTTCCATGTCCATTTTTGGAAAAATTTTGTGAAATAACCCATGATAAAAGCCTCACATCGAATGCTAATGCCATACTTTTTCACGTGTTCCACAGTCTAGATGTTAAAGCAGCGAAAGAGACTCGTAACACTAACCAACGACTCATCTTTGCATTGTAGGATTCATCACCCCACACACAAGATTTAACCAAATACCAAAACTTTTTCAATTGGACACTGTCATATGGCTTCGATTCGCATATTGTTGCACCGTAACTCTTCTCATTCTCATTTAATGCTAGCTCAACTTTTTCCAAAACGCGATTAGGTACTGCGGCTCCTCAAATCTCAAACTGCAAGGGCTCCAGTAAGCGGTTATTATACATATCAAAGTTACAAAAATATATTGATATCACCATCTATGGAAGATGCGGCAAGCCGTGTCCGATAAATACAAACCGTGAATACAATCAGAATTTTTATTTTATACTTAGCTTCGAGAATAATTTAAACTCACCCTCACCTCAAAGACTGCACAAGTAATTGCTTTCGATTTATAATTTATCTGTGTTGTGGAAACTGTGTATCAACACTCTTTCACAGGTTTTATGAGCGCAGATTGTTTGTGTAAATAAAAGACGAAAAACGAACGCTAATATTGTCTTTCCTATGCCTGTCTAGCTAATTGTGACTCTATAAACATTTTCTACTTCGCACTTTTCACGCTGTTCTTGATATAATGGTACGTCCGCATTAAAGCAGTTTGGAATTAAAATCTCTTTTGATAGTTGTTATTCTTTTCCTTTTGTTTTTCTGGTGAGAGCAAAGCAAATAAACAAAGCTGAAATGAAACTAAACAGACGGAATTCATTCGCGGCACTGGATGGGGCATCACGGACTCCTTGGTTCACGGTGTATATTTCAAAAAATCTCCGATTTTCTGGCCCTGTTCAGATGGAATACTCGGATATTTCGAACTCTTCTGGACGCTAGCCGCTTGTATTTCTTTGCTCACGGGGATCTCTTAAAGACTTAATAGGGAAGAAAATAACGTTTTTCAATCTTTGAAAAAGCACCCAAGTCGTTCTGTTCAAAACCAAGCCTAGGTTACGGCTGTATTTGTACATTCTTTTAAGATGATTAGCCATTATACAATGGCTAGAAAATGAGCTTATCGTTTACCGAATTTTGATCCTTTAAGCAATAATTTTCATTGAAACGACTTAAGCTAACCGTTTTTTGTTTTCAGCCGAAAAGTTTTTTATTCCGTTCCAATTCTCCATTATCCCTGTAGTTTATGGTCATACAAATTACAGCAAATTTGTGCCACCGGAAGCTTTCATAGATACGAAAGATCACACATCTCCGGCACGGTTAACCGAATATCTAAAAGCAGTAAAGAACAATGCAACATTATGGTACAGTTATTTTGATTGGAAGAAACATTATTTATGGGGACAAAGCCACTTTATGTTTCTCTCATGTGATGTGTGTTTACGGTTGTATTTAGATAACAAAACGAGTGTTATTCATGATATAACTCCTGGTGAAAATCGGGCGTATGCGTATATCCAAGCATTTAACAAACTCTCACTGCAGTGACTACTCGCATTGTCCAAAAATAAATAAACCACGTAGGTCATCTCGTATTTTGTGAAGATGAATGCCGACTGCATCCGTACAACTCGTCAGCATTAAATATTTGACTGGAATATGCATTTCTTAAAAGTGACAAAAACCCCTTGTCTATTTTCAAATGCCACATTGAAAAGTCAGACGATGTCCAAGTAAAAATTCTTTTATTTTGTCATTCATTGGAACATTTATGGTATATTAGGCGCTGTTGCAATCTATCTAACCGTATTTTAGTCTCTTATAACTTCAGACATCTTGTATTTTGATCTCAGACTCATTCGTCTCCGGCTGACATGGGAGAATCGGGTTCGTGTTTTTGCTGAACGTCACTTAAGGCTTGTATAGTGATATATAGTAGTTTATCATAAACACTTATTGGACAATGATTATCATAGCGCCAGTGCTAGTAGGCATGCGACAGTTCTTTTCGTATTTTCGAAAAAATGATTTGCACCAATTCCATGATAAATATGGCGTGGTTTATTTATTCCACGTCCAAGTAATGTCTTTGAAATTATTTGATACTATTGTGGCCTTAAGCTCATGGTTATTATTGCAAGCAGTATCGTCGGTGCATGGATTTTCTATTAAAATTCTGCTTCCATATAGCTTTCGAATCTTAGTCATAACGCTCTAGTGTAAAGCTTGGAATTTACTATTAAATTCATCTGAATTTGTGGATACCTTGACTGAAATAAAGAGCTTGATAAAGTGCTCAATTTTCCAAGATAAATATCCTAGTCCTTTAACTATGAGAAAACTAAGTTAAAAGTGATATCTTATTTTTAAACAGAATAGTGGTCAAGTAGAATTATCAAAAATCCCGAAAGGTTTTAGAAGCTCGTACCAATAAAGATAGATCGGTAGTATGAGCATATATGTCAACAGAATATGCACAAACGTGGAACATTAAATGCTCTTGTTTTTCCAATAATTAGGATGCGTAGTGTACCAATCGATTGTGCGTTGTAGGCCTTCTTCAAAGGACACCATTTGTTTCCAACCAAGTCCTTCCAACGCACTGGTGACAAGTGAATATCGACAATCGTTAAAACAGCGATCTTTAACGTATACGATGCAGTCTTCAATACTAAAGTTCGACTTCATAAACTTCAAAAGTATAGCTGCAATGTCTATAACTTTCATTTCATCTTTTGATCCAACATTATATATCATTTTTGGTTTTCCCTTGCATAGAATCAATTCTATGGCTGCTACTGTATCATCAACATGAATAAAATTTCTCACATGCTTGCCATCGCCATGTATTGTCATTTTTTTACCATTTAAAATGGCGGTGATAAACTTGGGTATGACTTTGTCTGTATACTGATATTTTCCGTAAACATTATTTCCACGTGTAATAACCTATAATATCAAATAATTGCAACTTATTTCAAAATGATCTCTATCAGTGGAAATAAATGAAGATCATGTGATGAAAGCCGTTGAAACATAGCTTCTGCGCACAACAATGTTTCCGAAACGCTAGTCGGCAACATCGTCATCAGCATTATATCTAGACCTTCGCTTGATTCTTATCTGGTACTTTCCACTCACGAGGGAAGTATCCCAACTGATAAATCGCTTTTTCAACGAAACCGAGTGGACCATAGGTAGTCGACGATGCTGATTCCGAATATCACCATGAATGCTACTGCTAGGCCTTCAAAGGTCGGTCTTCTAGAAAACCAGTTTTCGAGAAACTCTATAGAACAACCAAAAGCTTTCTCAATGAGGCGTAATTGTAGTCCGTACATTTCTGATTAAAACGAGGCATCTCCCAGCTCTACACGACCTTGCTTTCCAAAGTTATAGAGTTTACAAGAAAGCCC